TGACTTGAAATGTAAGTCTTGGAAGAAAGTAAGTCTGACTTGAAATGTAAGTCTTGGAAGAAAGTAAGTCTGACTTGAAATGTAAGTCTCGGACGAAAGTAAGTCTGACTTGAAATGTAAGTCTCGGACGAAAGTAAGTCTGACTTGAAATGTAAGTTTCGGACGAAAGTAAGTCTGACTTGAAATGTAAGTCTTGGAAGAAAGTAAGTCTGACTTGAAATGTAAGTCTCGGACGAAAGTAAGTCTGACTTGAAATGTAAGTCTTGGAAGAAAGTAAGTCTGACTTGAAATGTAAGTCTTGGAAGAAAGTAAGTCTGACTTGAAATGTAAGTCTCGGACGAAAGTAAGTCTGACTTGAAATGTAAGTTTCGGACGAAAGTAAGTCTGACTTGAAATGTAAGTTTCGGACGAAAGTAAGTCTGACTTGAAATGTAAGTCTCGGACAAAAGTAAGTCTGACTTGAAATGTAAGTCTTGGAAGAAAGTAAGTCTGACTTGAAATGTAAGTCTCGGACAAAAGTAAGTCTGACTTGAAATGTAAGTCTCGGACAAAAGTAAGTCTGACTTGAAATGTAAGTCTTGGAGAAAGTAAGTCTGACTTGAAATGTAAGTCTCGGACGAAAGTAAGTCTGACTTGAAATGGAAGTCTGATTCTAAATGTAAGTTCTAGACTAAAGTAAGTCTGATTCTAAATATAAGTCTGATATTAAGATAAGTTTGTAACTAAAATTAAGTCTTATTCCAAAAGCAAATTTAATTGTATAATAAGTCTGGATCTAGAGTAAGCCTTAGTCTACAGCTATTCTGTGTCAAAAATAAGTCACAAACCATAGTAAGTTTCGGACTAGAGTATGTCTGTAATTCGAATCATTCATATTCTTCAATTATCCCGCCAAAAAAAATTATCGTCTTTTTATCATACCATAGTTTTTATCAATCTCGTTCTACTAAAAAACCTTTATATTGGTGATTTCTTTGTTAAACCCGTATTTTTTCATGTAAATCTTATTGTATAAACTCTAAAAGTTCAATTTCCGGTCGAAAAAAACTTGAAAACAATTTGTATTCGACGAGTTAAAGAGCTCTATTTATTCTAAATTTTCCAAAAAAATTAGATTTCGTTTTTTCGCTTCAAAAAATGTTGTTTTAAGTTTTAAAATTTGTAATTCAAAATTTTTTTGGAAAGATTTACGATTTTTTAAAACTGCAAATGAGTTTTATTTTACATACTCTATTGATAAATCTATTTTTGTCGAGATATAACTTTTTTTTAAAAAATTATATGCAAAGAGTGTTATAGAATTCTAGAAGGTATAGTGCATAATTTGAAGTATACTATCAAATAAAGAAATTTTACAGTTTTTTAGTTTTATTTAGATGTACGTTATTTTAGATGGCTTCGTCGAAAACAAAGCATGTCTGTTAAGTTTATTCTTAACATGGTAAATAAAATGGCAACGAAGCCCAGTGTACTGCGTCTTATGCCGTAGTTTTTGTTATCTTCATACTCAAATACAACAAATACAAATAGATTTATTACGAAAAAACGTATAAAACAAATGATATATTTATTTCTAGACAAGTTGACGAACATGTAGCGCAACTGTATCGCTTTAGAGAACAGTTCTTCCAACACCTACTCATTCAGTGAAAGATTTAAGAAGAACTCTTACTCGACCTTAACTACCTACGCTTTGCTTGAACAATTCCCAACGAGGTTACTATAAGGTTGCAAGTCTTGTCAAAATGTAGTATGCAATACGTTGGGGAAAAATAGATATATACGAACAAACTACTACAGTCTAGCAACTAGTCTTTAAGTGTAATGTATTTTTGCTACAAAGAGCTCATAACGAAGTCAAATTTGCAATTTGATGTCAAAACTAGCTAGTTGTTGAATCAAATAGCGTTGTGACTTTGTATACATCACGATCTTGTGGTATCAGAGCTGTACTGCTGCAGACTAATTCAACTAAACATGAGCAAGATTGGGATTTCTATTCTCTGGGGTGCGAGGCTCGTCCAAAGTTCAAGCAGCTACAGTGTTTTGGATCACCTAAAGAATTTTGGGAATTCAGTTATCCGTTACTACTCTTAAATTAAAGTAGAGCACTACAACGAATCAATCGTAATGCCTAGTCTCTCCAGTAACAAGCTGATCTGCTATATTAACTTTAAAGCCAAATCGATTCACATTGTTGCTGGTAAGTCTGATTGCTTCAGATAGAGAGCATGAATTGCTTCTTTATCATCTAATCCCCATCCCCCTTGTTCCCGATTGGATGACATGGACAATTCATCTTTCTCTAACGAAACAAAATGACACTTTTTTGGCGGCTTATTGACTCAGAAAAATTTGAGAGTTAACGAATAATTTTGGCGCCAAAAATAATTTCTCTTAATTTATTAAATTTAATATACACACATCCATAAGTTATGCTATTTTTTCTATTTATTTTGTTCTAAAATTCTAAATATTTTTTTTTCATAACATAAAATATGATGTCTAGTCTCATTTACATAACAACATGCCTTAGAATAGGTTTTTTATTCTTTTTGTCACTTTAAATTAAGAATAAAAAGATAATTTAAATTGAATATTTGCGATTATTCTCACTAATGCTGCTTCCTCTTTTATTAGGTAGACAACAAAAAGTTAGCCTTGGACTCCCATATCAGATTTTTGATTGGTTGCGTATATAATGAGCTGGGATTGATAGACGAAAACCCAGTGAGAAAATTTTTGACGCCTGGACTTAATGTCAATCTGAATTTTGACTTATGCGAACAAAAACTGTACCCGATGTATTTTGGATTTAATATCATATGATTGGCAGTTATCGTTTTCCAAAGTTGATAAATCTTAATTAATTCTGCAAGATGAATACTTTCTGACACGGTTTAGGAGTAACTGAATGGTGTTCCCTAATGTAGCAATTCTATACCTTTTGTATTGATACTGAATTCGATTAAATTTTTAGGTTTGTTTAAATTGAGTTACTAAATTTACCCGCAATTTGTATGCAATACCAATTAATTTTGCTACTATATCCAAAGTTTTCGAAATAAAATATTATCTCTAAAATATCACAAATTTTGCATTAACTTTTAAACTTGAATGATATACAAATAATCCATACATAGAAGATATCTGTTAGCCTGCTATGGCAGGCATGAATATAAGGATAAGGAATAGCGTGTGGATACTCATAAAGCAGCCATGGCTGATGCAATTCTTGCAAAGTATTATCCGATTACATATTTTGGAATTGGTTGTGAGAAGATATTGCAGAATATAATTTTGATCGTAAAACACCGTAATCATGTATTGAAAATAAACAAATTTACTAACAAAATTAATATAATCATTGGAAATCAAACAAAATGAGTTGTTATAAGGAAGTTCTCATTGAAGGAACATTAACGCATTGAGGGTGTGTTCTGAAAGCAAATAATGCAGGGAGCTTATTTGATTCAAGTGATTCTACACCAAGATTTATATCCGGTGTCGATCTTTTGACATTATTTTGATTTAGTCGGGGGAGCATCGATTTGGGCTCACAACAGGTTAAAGGTGGAAGGTTCTGACTGCGAAATGCATGTATACGTTCTTCTGCCATCGGATTGAAGTTTTTCATTGCCAAAGGTGGGGTGAGCTCTCATGATGCTATACATCTTTGAAAATATTATTCTTCTAATTTGTGAGAATTTTGCGGTTTATAAAACTTTTGAATAAGTTTCAATAAATGGGCATCTATCTTCATTAAGTAAATCGAATCACTTAAAAGTGAACCGAAGAAAATGAATTGAATTTTTCTATAACATTCGATCCAGTATAAAATACGATATTATAAAAACCATACATGAATAATCTAGTTTTGATTTTTCTTTATGTTTATATTTTTGTGTGCTTATTTTTTTGATCGTTTCAAATACTTTTCAAATATACACAAAAATCAATGTGAATTCGCTATATGGACTTTAATATGCAATTTCTTTATAAGACCAAAAAATTCAATGAACGAAATATTTAACAAACAATGTGCCAAATGAAAAAATATTCATATTGATATTAAAATTAATCTCATCGAATTTTGTTTCATTATTTTGGTTTCTGAAATCATTAAGATGCTCTTGATGCATTTGACCAATACCCACTTATTTATTTGATTTCGATGAAAAATACAATTGAATGCATTTTAGTTTCATCTTATTCAAAATTTTGTGAGAGCTTCATTTCTTCTATGACCACGCCTTCAAATGACTCATATCTGAAATCGATTTGAATCTTAAAAGCTAACAAGCATATGTCTCACACCCGTTATCCATTTGGAAAGGAATGTTTGTTTTGCTTTCCTCAATTATTATGAGTTTTTTTTTTTAATTTTTAAAGTGCTGAATCGAAAAAGCGCTTACAAATATTTGTTTCGGTCTTTGCAATTTCAATACTTTATGTTCAACCAATTTTATAATTTTCTCAAAAAATTACATTTGTTTTCTATTTATTTAAACAAAAATAAACACATTCTTGATGCAACATATATGTCCTATTTATTTTCCAAAATAATTCATGTGATATTGTATAAAAGTATTTTTTACTATTATGTTCAGCAAAATCACCAAGGATTATCTGGTTGTTGTGAGTGATGTTAAAAAAAAAAAACTTTTCACATAACAAATAAAAAGACGAAAAATAGGGATACCCACATGACATTATCAGTCCATTTTTAAAGCCTAACTGTAAAAAAATAGACTGAAATTGACTTAATCACCTTTTCGACCAAGGGTTCTTGGAGCAATTCTACTTGTATTTCTTCAAGGTCTTGTTACATGTCTTTCCATTGGTGGAGGGATGATGTAACCATACTTCTTATACTCATTTTCTATTTGAATTAATTTTGCTTTTGGCCTTTCAAGTTCTCTTTGCATTGTTTCGATCATCAGACCGATTTTCCTATCATTATATCTCTTCATTGTCTCCTTCTCTCTTATGTATTTAGCCTAGACGTCTTCCCTTCGCCCTGCAGCCGTCTTTGGAATGGATGGTCGATAAATTACGGAACCATCTGGATTTTTTATGAATCTCTGTGCATTATCTTTTCTCATTTCAACTTCATACTTATCGTCGAGCTGCTGGAGTCTTATCTTTCCTTCTTCTTTCTCTTCTGCGATCTTTTGTTCCCAGCCTTTTGTGATCATTTCGATGTTTCCTCTTGCATCATACAGTTTAACATCGAGCATCATCTTGAGGTCGATGTCCTGTGTATCTTCGCCATCTATTAAATTCAATGGATCCATAGGAGGAAGGGGAAAAATTGTGTAATTCAAAATTTTCGACTAAAAAAAAGTAGTCGCAACTATAAATTTTGATGATATCTGGTCATACAGTATCACCAACTTATTACAATGAGTTGATGGGCACATATAAAGATTATTGTGATGCATTTGATTCATTATACAAGCTTAAAACAAAAGACGAAAAAGAATTAACTGTAATTTATCAAGATATCAAAATTCTGATCGATTCATATAAATACCCTCCAAATACGATTCTTATGGATATATCACGAATTTCAAAATTTAATAACCGCTACATGAAGTCGTACTTATACATTGTCAAACAAATCTTTGAGGAATATCAACCAAAAGAGATTAAGCACATTAATCCTGTTTTTGATTACATTTTATATAAAGAATATGGAATAGTGCTTGAAGAAAGCAACAGAAGCAAATTCGAGGAATGTGAATCTAAAAATTATTCATCGGATATTCATAAAGAGAATACAATTTACAGGGCAATCATGGATGATGACAAAGTATTATTAATTTTCATCATCGAAAAAAGCGAATTTGATGAAAATCAAAAATTACAATCCCCATTTTATCCACCTTCAAGAACTCCATATTCATATCTTGATCTATGCTGTTATTATGGATCTGTTGGCTGTTTTAAGCTCTTCATCACAAAATTCCATTCTAAAATAACAAAAGATTGTCTCTATTTATCATTTTTAGGTGGAAATCAAGAGATTATGAGTGAGTGCTTAAAAGTAGAAAAACCAGATGAAAAATGCATGATTTATGCAATTATTTCACATAACATTGATTTTGTTTCATTTTTGATGAATGAGTACAAAATAAACATTAACTTAGGATGTTGCTGTGTACAAAATAATCTTCGGGCTTTCTTGGTTCACTTAGATCAAACTAATGATATTGATTCATGCTTTGCATTTTCACCATATTTTATTCTACCGTCCCTTGTTGAATATTTTATTTTACATGGTGCAGATGTTAATGCTAAAGATAAACAAAACAAGACTCTACTTCATAAAGTTGCATGTATCAACAGTAAAGAAACAGCAGAAATTCTTATTTCTCATGGTGCAAATGTTAATGCTAAAGATGAAGATAACAAAACTCCTCTTCATAAAGCAGCATTAAACAACAGCAAAGAAACAACAGAAATTCTTATTTCACATGGTGCAGATATCAATGCTAAAGCTAAATATAACGAAACTCCACTTCATACAGCAGCATATTACAACATTAAGGAAACAGCAGAAATTCTTATTTCTCATGGTGCAGATATCAATGCTAAAGCTAAATATAACGAAACTCCACTTCATAAAGCAGCATATAACAACCACAAAGAAATAGTAGAAATTCTAATTTTACATGGTGCAGATATCAATGCTAGAGATGAAATTGGACAAACTCCACTTCGTAAAGCAGCAAATAACGGCAGCAAAGAAACAGTCGAAATTCTAATTTCTCATGGTGCAGAAGTTAATACTAAAGATAAAAGCAAAACAACCCACTTTATGGAGCAGCATATAACAACCACAAAGAAATAGTAGAAATTCTAATTTTACATGGTGCAGATATCAATGCTAGAGATGAAATTGGACAAACTCCACTTCATGAAGCAGCAAATAACGGCAGCAAAGAAGCAGTCGAAATTCTAATTTCTCATGGTGCAGAAGTTAATACTAAAGATAAAAACAAAAAACCCCCCACTTTATGGAGCAGCATATAACAACCACAAAGAAATAGTAGAAATTCTAATTTCACATGGCGCAGAAGGCAATACTAAAGATAAATAAAACATGGAGCTCCATTAAAGACTTTTTTTCAATCATTCCCTAATCATTTATATGCATTTTTAAGGATTTGCCCTCACAACAGGTTAATTGCAGAAAGATCTGACTGTAAAGTGATTGTGTACATTCTTTGTACTATGGAATTAATTAAAACTCGAGTGGTATATAGTCCTGTGACTTGCCAAACTACCAGAATCTAAACTGAGTGATGAAAAAAAAGTTTATTTACTCCATGAAATGTTGAAAACAGCGCCTGTATGTGCATCAGCAACCCAAATGAAGTCACATTATGTATATATAAGCAATCTATTGGAATGGTTTTTCTCTTCATTATTCACTCGTTCTAGCTATCTACGGCAATCATATGGGACTAAAGAGAAATGAATTTTTATCGTTTAATCAACAAAATAGAAATAAAATATTTACAAAAATGAATGTTCATGGGTGGACACATTGAACAAATTTTCTTTTCTTTTCTTGGTAAAAATAATAATACTATTTCAAGATTTCCTTCACATGGACGCAATCCAATGAATGTTAAATTATTCTTAAATGATTTTGTTCCTTTTTCTGCTGTATCAACATTTCCATAAGTTAAAAAATCATCAATACTGCATCGATGGATATAAATGCATCCAACAAATCCATATCCTTGAAATAAAACACCTACTTTATTTTGCCGATTGTTTTTGAAATGAGAATCGAAAATATCAAGTCTTTTATCATAAACTTCAACTAGAGACCGAACATCTCCATTATCATGGGAATTATTTATATAATTACATCTTTCAATTATTCCTGGACAGTCCCAAAACCGAGTAATAACATAGTCAATTGCTTTTAAACTCTCAAAATTACAAAATGAAACATTTACTGTTGATTCAAGAGAATGATAATAGAAACCTATACTAAAAGTTTTCCAAAACCATTTTGTTGGAAAATCATATAATATGCTGAACTAATTCCTCCATTACAAATCGATCCTTGGAGGATTGTATTGTTGATTTTGCCATAGAATTTACCAAATTGGCCATCTGAAAAAGTTTTACTTTCATATGAACATAATTTATCAAAAACAATGGCAGTATTCCTAGTACTTGATATATATGCTATGCCTGCACATCGCAAAAAAACGTTTTCACAAAGCAAAATCGAGCAGTCAACTGTATCTTTGAAATTAATTGCTCTTTCTTGAATGCTATTGAACTTGCATATGTATACAAAGCATCTGTTTGATGTTGAAGTGACTTTTTCAACTTCACCTGTAAAAACTTTTGAAGGAGGACTAATTCCTTCATAATAAAGGTTCCAAACACTATTTTGATCTTCATCTCTATGGAAAGACTTCTCGAAGACAATTAGTTTGACTTCGACAATGAGCTTTTTTACTCATTGCAAAAGTAATAAAAAGACAGGGGGTAACATCATATTTTTCTGCAATGCTATCCAAGTAAGTTAAATATTTGAAATATATAATTATTATGATGGTAAAACTTTTGTGCTCTAGATCTATTTCTATATCGAGGTGAATGATTCAAAGAAATTCTGAAGAGTATATATACCTTCTCTTTATCATCAGTATGGAAATACCCAAGTAAGTAATTTGAGTACAATTAATCATAAAATTAAAAAAAGGCTGCATATATGATTCAAAATCTAACAGGAACAGAATTCTTAATTTCACAACTGCTACATATCATGCCGATGTGGACAATTCTAGTTATAAATTTAATATTACAAACTGTAATATTTAATCAATAAAATACAGAATACACTTTATGGAATGCATATATTCAAATTGTTCATTCAATAGTACTAATAGAAATTGACGTCTATCGAAGTATAAAATATGGTACTGTTAATTCTAAATAAATGAATTTAACCATTAGGTTTATTTATATCTCATTATGCAGTTGAAGGATACAACACTACATATTTTTCTAAAAAGCAAAATGAAAATGTTAGTCGTTTCGTAAAGTGTCCAATATATTGTTAACAATGTTTATAACACGTTGTTTATTGATTCAGTTACATTTTTTTCGTTTACAATTCCGTTTTTATGCATGGAAATACCCAGGGATTGAGCTGTGAAATCTCTTGATATAGATGAAACTGTTCTCTTTTAACTGTATTTGATCTTTATGCCATTGATTTATGATGGCAATAATTATTTCACGAAATTCCAAATATCTGAAATAAATCACTATTTCATAATTTTCATTTAACTAGAAATAAAGCTAAAATAATGAAATTATTTCATGTAGCATCTATGGCAGTCCCAACGGGAACCGCGGTAATTTACCGAGGTTTCCGCACACCGGTTCCTTTTTTTTAGGAATTTTTTAGATTAAAAAATATGCTTTGTAAATCATTTTTTGTAAATCGGCAAAAATTTGGAAATATTCTGACGACAATAAATCTGGGAATAGTATTTTAAATACGAGAACAAACTATTTAAAAGTGTTTCGCTCGATTTTGTATAATTTCAAATTTTCGCATATAGCTTTCCGTGAATTACCGTGATTTTACCGCCACATCAATAGTTTACGACACTTTTTCCGTAAATTGAGTAGTTTACTGCACTTTTTCCGTAAAATTGAGTTAGGGAATCCGTAAGATTACCGTACCTCACTTCTAGTTGAAAATAGCATTAGTATATAATAAATAGATATATTATTCATATTTTTGATTTTGAATTACGGAAAAAGTGAGTTCAGAACTTCCAATTATTATTTGATTAATTATGTTAAAAATACTATAAGGAATTAAAATACATAATGTTGAAATTTGAATTACGGAAAAAGTGAGGGCGAAAGTGAAGTGAAAAAGTAAGATATTTTTTGTTGAAATAATCATAGTTGTACAATTTTGAAACTATATGTAAAGCTATAAATTGAATAAATTCAAAAACAAAAATTGTTTATTCTTATTAATAAATTTATATTAATCAATATTTGAACAACCCGTAATTAAAATCGAATTCCTCTTAAAATTTAATCCATACGTTAATTTTTAATTTGCTCGGCGAATGCCGAGCTTCCCTACTTCTCTTGTCATTCCTTCAAAAACTATAATCTCATCGCACTTACAAACATCATGATTTGATGTATTCTCGAGAAATCTTAGACTTGTTTGTCATTTGATTATAGCATTTGAAAGTCATCTCGAAAATCGATTAACAAGACAATTTCCCAAACATCTACATACAAGTAGATGATGGTAAACACATTAGAGTTGTTTTGCTATGATTCCTCCAATCTTATGATGAGAAAAATCATATCAAAACAGCTCTAATCGAACATTCTACACAGCTTAGCATCCAGCTAGTTCCAAGTAATGCGATTACAACATCAACGGCCAAAGCCTGTCAGAATCCTTTAATCATTTCTTCTCATCTCAATGTGAAGTGGCCCCAAACGAACTACAAGCTGACGTTACAACGCATTACAACCCGGTTAATACGAGCATATACATTAGAGCTGCTTTGTTATGATCTCCCTCATCAATTGATGAGAGATCTCATTATGAAGCAGCTCCAATCGAACTAAAAACCTACATACAAATGAGTGAAAACAAACTCATTAGAGTTGTGTTGCTTTGATTTCTCTCATCAGAAGATGAGAGATACCAGAACAAAACAACTCTAATCAAACTTTCTACACAACTCAGCACAGTATCAATGCAAAGTAATGCGTCTGTATCGTTAACAAGCAAAGTTGTTTCGGGTCCTTCCATTTTGGAAGAATTCGGAACAACTTTGCGAATTGATAGTGTAAACCCATATACATGAAAGCGTGCATGCATAAAGACAGGTATTGTCAGCAATGACTACCTGCCCAGCTATGAGTGATCAGAGAATTACCATCTCAGGCTTTTTGAGAACGTTTCAGCCAGGACCCTCGTATGTTGACTGTGAGAAAGGCATCCTTTATCTGAAATAGATGCTTTTCCAACAATCAAATCCGAAGATCTTCGACGTTGTTGTAAAAAGAGAAGGAGAAGGAAAGAAGAGGAAGGAGAAGGAAAGAAGAGGAAGGAGAGGAAGAAGGGAAGGAAAAGAAGAAGAAGAAAAAAGAAAAAAAAGAAGGACATATTAAATATAATGCGCACTTAATAGTGCCGAGGCGCGATTTTTTTGACTCTATATTACCGCACGGCAATGTTTTTCTCGATTTTGTACAGCCCTAGTAGCATCACACCTAATTACATAGAATTTATTAATACAAATTCTTGAATCGGGTTTTCCTACAAGTGTAAAAAATGCGCAAAAACAATTATTTTACATTCAAACTGCGCATTATTTGCGCGTTTAAAAATCTATCCGCGTAAAGTAGTCAAAAGATGTATACATTTTTTTCTTTAATATATTTTGCATATGCAATTGTGGAGTACTTTTTCAAATGCGCAAAATATGCGCAGATTCAATTTTTAATAATCATTTTTGCGTATTTTTGCCCCCCTGTAAAACCCCTTGAATCAAACCGTATTACTTCACCAAAATAAAAAAAAATTAATTACTTAATGACACTTAGTATAAACCTTGAATCTTTATCAGTACGAGGCTTGTACTTGCTGAAATGTTCTCTATTTTATAACTAAAATGTTCGAATCAATAAACACAAAAATTTGAGCTTTTAAAAAATTATATATTAAATAAAAACTAAAAAATATAAATGTTTAATGTAATTCCATGTCTTCACCAATGTTAAGTTCATTATGTCGGCTAGTTAAGAATGATGAAACTTCTTTAGCAGTGTCTTCATTCTTTGCAATGAATTTGAGGACACCTTTCAAGTTCTTGAATGAAACAACAACTTTTTGACCATCAAAAGCAGATTTGCTGTCGCAGATCTTCATAGGCTGAAGTTCTTGTGTGACATCGATTCGAATAACAAATACTAATGTACTAGTGATAGCGATGTATCGTTCGTCTTTTGCAGAGATGTCTTTAACAAGAATTTCAATTCTTTCTTTAGGAAATCCACCTTCGAAAATCATGAGTTGTAACATCGCTGGAATCTTCTGGAATTCTTCGACACATCCACTAGAAAAACATCTTGGAATACGGATAGATTTATAAACCAAATCATCATCGTTAACAAACTTAGTGGCACCACTCAAAATAGATGTTGATGCATCCAATATTCCTGCAAGAGGAGACATAACCATGTTTCCAATTCCTTTTCCAAAGCCAACAACGGCACCAATAGCACCATCTTCTTCGGCTCCACTCATCGCTGATTGAACAACATTGAATGAGTTTCCGGAGACATTCTTGTAGATGGATCCAAGGCCGTGATTAATTGAATCGCCAGCACCCATAGAGTTCATAGTATTTCCATAACTTTCTTGACCAGAAACTGTGTGGAAAACATTAGCAATTGTTCTTGTTACTCCTGCACCTGCTGCCAAGACTGTTCCGACTGTCGCACCACCGATGGCTTTGATATCTCCTTTTGCGAGTTTAGAGCTTTGTCGAGAGATATTCGATGTTACTTCGTGAATCGCAAACAACATGTTCGTGTTGAATAACAATTTCAATGCTTGTGATGTGACTTGTTTGATGTAAGGCTGAACAATTCTTTCGTTGATGAAATCACCTGTTGCAGTGAAATCAGAAATTGGGAGTTCAGGAAGAACAATTGAACCTCCTGAAACACTTGGAACGAAGTTTATGATTTCTGTTAATAAAGGATGAAGTCCAACTCTAGCTGTACTTGAGAAAATTGAGAAATTCAATTGAACTTCGTGGATTTTCAGGGATTGAGCTGTGAAATCACTTGATGTTAGAGAAACTGTTCTCTTTTCACTATATTTGATCTGTCTGTCTTTGATTTCAGATGGTAATAATGGTTTCACGAAATTCCAAATATCTGAAACAAATGACAAATCAACACTCATAATTATCTTTTGAACTCTTATCGAAATGAAAGAGAAAGCAGTGAATAAAGGTGCATCGCCAAACATAGTACATCTTGCTTCAAACCAATGATGATTCTCATCAGGATAAGCTGCTAATACAACACCGTAATTCCGTGGAACTAACATATCATCTAATTGCATGGAATTAATGCAAAAACTGACATTTGTAAATCTATCGTTTTGTACATATTTCAATTGTATTCCATGGATGTTCAAAACACACAATTCTCCCATTTTATCGATCAATGAGATGTTGATGTTATCAAATATCAATGAGAAATTCCAACAATGTCTCGTTGGTTGTTCAACTGGGCGGTTTGACACAGCTATCGTCTTTCGACATTTATCGTTAATTTCGATGTGAATCCAAACTTCTTTTTCTTCATATTCTGATGAATCGTCTTTCAATGCTTTTGCAATATATTTAATTGAATGTTCAATGTCTGTCAAATTAACATTGATCTCTAAATCATAAATACAGACAATGATGTCGTTTAATTCAAACGGCTTTTGCAACATGATGAATGTTGATCTCTGTGGAAGAACTTCGATCTTCTGATCACAGTTGACTTGTTTGTAATAAACAGGAATATCATTATAATTGGTTATTGTCAATGGTTGTGTCACTTTTGCATCTTTAAATGATGCCAAAAATTCTTTTCCATCTCCTTTGATTTCGAGTTCAATTCCATTTCTCTTTGTCATTGATTTCGAATTGTCCATGAATGTCGTGTGGACAGGAGACTCCAAAGATATCAATGAACCATCAGAACTCCATACACTTCCATCTGGATTTAATGATCTGTAAATAAATGTTAATTTTTGACTGGAATATGGTAAAATTATTTTCTCTTTCTTCCTGACAATTATTGGATCTAAAATTGTTGTCAAAACCGTTGGATTTTCAAAGGATTCAATTGGATCCAGTCTGAAATCGAATTTCGTCAAGTTTTCAACAGCAATGTATGGCTGGATAGTGACAACAGATGTTTGATTGATGATTTCTGTTGTGTAGTGAAGTGGTACAAATAAGTGAGGTGAAGTGTTCAAAGCAATGAAATAATCTTCAGACATTGGAGCAGCGAGACATTGTAGAGGCGTTTTATTAAGAAGCCATTCATCTTTAAGCAATAAATATGCAGATAATGTACTGAAATTACTTTCGAAATATTCAGATGTTCCCCAATAACAATAACCGTTTTCTGACGGTTTGTCATCGTCATTTAATGGAGCAAATTCTGCTGCAATGTTTGCAGATGAATCACACAACATCAAGTCGAAACCACTCTTATTAAATATGACAGTAGGACTGAAGAAAGTGATTTTGAATGCCTGTGTTTCATCATCGTATTCTGTATCTGCAACAATTTTGATTTTTGAAGTGTTTTCTAAGATAAACAATTCGATTGCAGACTTTTTAGTTTGTGGAGGCAATTCAACGAGTTTAGAAAATGGATTTTCTGCAACTCTGAGTTTAAGTAATAACTTGGACAAATTGGAAATGGAAAGAGTACAAAACTTCTCTTCGTTTTCTTTGAGTTCGAGAGTTTCGAATTCTTTATCTTTTTCAACAGCAATTTGAATAGTTATTTGATGCATTAAGTTATTTCTCAATACAACTTGTGGAGAAATCTCAACATTTAACACGGATATTTCATAATCCAAAGTTGAAGAGATCAAAAACTTCGAAGTTTGTGATTTAGACTTAACTTTGTAAATGAAATTTCCTTGTTTCAATTTTTTGATTGAGAAATAATCATATTTCGGTTTGACAGTTCCCAAAAGACCCAAACCCATATTGCATGTTGGAGAAACATCACAAGGAAGATTGCAATACTCATCTGGCTGGATTTCCAATGCCCTTTCCAATTTATTCCGTTTTGAATGGATGTAAAGTAAAAGTGACACTCTTGTATTATTATGGAATTTAATTGGAGTTGAGAACAACAAATGAGATTCTGTTGGTGTTTCTGAATAACTTGCGATTATGTTATTAGTCAAAAATCTTGGATAATTCAATTCAGAAGTTGTGAATTGGAATTGTTTGTTTCCGTAGAAAAGAGAAATTGGAGTTTCTGGATTTACATCGTAACTCGAGATATAAACAGAAAGAGGAGAAAGTTCAATTTGTCTGTCACCTACTTCGAACTTTGAGAAAATTCCTAAATTATTGTATAACTTGAATTGTTCCAATTTATCTGTTGAAATCTTTTTGTTTGATACGCAATAATTAATTCGTTCAAGAAGTTTCAACAAATCACTCAATTCTTTATGAGTTATATTGATGTTCATGTCACGAACAGCTCTAATCTTTATCTTTGATGTTTTCTCTGAGAACTCAATGAAATAATTGAATGTTGTTGGCTCCAAAATCTTCGAAAACTTGTGTGTTTTGTGGTCATAATGTTCAACAGTTATAGATTTCAAAGTAAAGTTATTAATAAAGTCTTTCGACATGTCTATTTCAACATCAATTGGTTCTGTTGTGATTCTCAAAAGTGGCATTGGTTTTAACCTTAATCTATTTTCAGAACAAATGTCAATCCAGCAACTTCCTGTGAAGATTGACAAAATCTGACCAGAATTATCTTTTTCTTCGACTTTTTCTGGTTTTTCATATGAAATTGGTGATTTTTCAATGAAAAGTGAAGTCAAATTCATTATAGAATTTTGAAGAACAATAATTGATGCAATATCAATTGGCGAAATAGAAACACGAACTGTTTGTGTTTCTATCGATGTCTTGTTCTTATTTTCTTTAGTTATTTCCTGGAAATATTTGATGTTTTGTAGAATAACGATAGGATTGTAAAGTTTTTCTCCAAACTTTGGTCCCATCGAAATATTCAAGTGATGTAACAAAGCCATCATTGTTTCTGAAGTTTTTTCGAACGACAAACTCAAATCTAAAACCATGATTTCGCTCTTTTCAGGATCAATAGGAAGAGTAACACACATATTCATTACATCTGCTTTGATCTGTGAATTATTATTTTCACTTTTTTCTTCAGTTTTGACTTCACTTTTGACTTGTTTATTCGGGAAGAAATCGTAAGTCAAAAATGGGAAAACTTTGATGTATTTGTAGAATTGTGCAACAAACTTATAATCCAAATACAAGAACAAGTTTCCTAATGTTACAAACATATCACTTTTTTGTAATTTAAATGAAACACCTTTCTTAAATTCATTAAATTCACAAATATCAATGATTTTCATTTCATTCTTTTCGACAAGAAATTCATCAAAATCAATTCCAATGTTGCCATCTTCCATTCCAAAATTAAGGTTATTTAATTGAATTAAACCGAATTTTTCTCCATCATTTGGTATTAATGAAATCTTCTTCAAATTCGCCAAAACTGTTGTATACAAACCAACAAAAGCAGTTTCATGTTTTTCTTCTGTTTCTGGTTTTTCTTGTGGAGGAGGAGCTGCAGTAAATGTTGACAAAGAATGGCATAATTCTAAAGTAGATTTACTGTTCATGTCGTATTCAATGGATTCTATCGTTGGTGTCACTTTTATTCCATAGAAGAAACCGTCACTTTTTCCAATAAATTCTTCTCTGATTTTTTCGTCAAAACCAGGTTTAATTGGCTGAGGTTCATTTCTTAAATCCAAGAATATAGGAACATCCAAATTATTCAAAGTGAGAAAACCATAACCAGATTTATCAGTTATTTGTATTTTATCAGTTTTCAGTAACAAATCTGTTGGGAAATTAGGAGTTTTCAGGGAAAAGTTGTTGAAAACTAAATCAACACCAGGAAAATCTTCTTCTATTTCATATGGAACTAATCTTAAATTAAGAGTATCAAAGCAAACATCGTAAGAAGAAGTAGGAATCATCATTGGAGAGTCTTTCCATTCTCCTTTTGGTAAATCAGCTGTTAATCCACTGGACCAACTAAGTAAATCATTCAAAAATTGCATATTATAACAAATATTCAATTTTTCAGATGAAAAACCGTAATATTTCTGAGCCAATTTAAATGTCACTTTTTGATTTTCATCGACATATAAGAAATGTTGATTTTGAGGTCCATATTTATCAGTATCTATTTTGATATTTGTCATATCAACTTGTAATGACAAACCACTTTCTTTTTCGATCTTCAAATTGAGTTCCAACAAATCAGTAATTAATTTGCAAACAGTGGAACCATCTTTGCAAACTAAAGGAACATTTAATGAATTAATATCTAAAATAAGATTGAAACCAGTATCATTTTCATTGTTTTCATTGTTTTCAACTTGAATTTGTTCATGATTTTGATTTTCTTCAATTAATCCATCATCAGAATTGATTAATGATGGTGGTTTCTGTGTGAAAAATCCAATTGCCCATGAAAGAGGTGCTGTTTTGCCTGATAAATAAATTGAATCAAATTTAATCGTCATTGGTTTTGCCAAATTCAAATTAAACTTTTGGATTTCGAGGAAATCGTCTGTTTCCAAATTAGACAAAAACTCTTTTCCTAAAATGGAATTTATGTTGACAACAATTCCTGTTTGTAAAATTCCAACATTTAAGTTTGCCAAATTAAATGCCAAAATTTTCTTTTCCAGATGAATCATATCCAACTTAACATCATCAACATCAACATTGATTATCATAGGAACTATATTTTCTTGTGGTTTTTCTGTAATGTCAGATTTTATGTCACTTTTTACATAATTGTCACTTTTTGTAATAGCCAAAGCGTGATTTAATCTCTTGAGTGTGTAATCCAACATATCCAAGATAAAATAGTAGTTTTGAGTGTCAAAATTGACAAAAATGTCATGTAAATTAACAGAAATATTTTTCTTTTCATTTGTAAAGTTCATATCAACAACAGGAGTGAAAGGAAGAATTAAGTTTTGCTGGTTAATCATCATCTTAACATCATCTAGTGTCACTTTTATTTTTTGTAAATCTTTTTGAACGTCTAAATCCAAAACAATTCTATCAATGAAAAGTTGGACGATTATTTTGTCACTTTTCTTTGAAGGAATACTCAAACAAACATTTGGATTTTTGACGATAAAAGTGCCTCTCAATTTATTGTCTGTGTCACTTTTTGCTTTCTTATCAACAATAACAATTTTTCTTTCAATTTTCGGTTTTTCGTCATCCAAGAAATTCAAAGTTTTCTCTTCAACAACTTCGATTTTGTTTGATTTCGGAACTTTGAAGAAGTCAGACAACATGAAAACCCATGTGAAATCAAGTAAGAAATAAGGCTCAGCCAAAGAAATTGTCATATCAGTGATATTTTCTTGTGGCTTCTTGGAAATGTTGATTTCGATGGCGTTTGAATGATCTCCACCGAAAGAAAAGAAAGTTGTTTTCTCAATGTCAAGAGCCAAAACGTTAATTAAGCTGAATTTACAGTCTATGGAATCTTCAATGAATGATAAACATGAATTGATCGTTCCGATTGTAAATTCGTTAATTTGTTTATCGTTTTGGTTAAATAACCTCAAGATTAAGGACTTAAAGTTGACGTTGAGAAGCATAGAAGGTCCATTCTCGCTCTTGATGATCTTCTGCCTGGAAGGAGGCTGCTTTTGGTCTTTCTTGTCCTCATCTAATAATGGCAATGGTGGAGGAGGCGCCGTTAGCTCTTTAATCAGGTTGATAACGTCTAAGTATTGGTTCCTAGTGAAGTTTACCTCGATCGCGGCTATATCGATGTTGAAAATCTGGTTAGGAATTGATGACATTGGAATGTAAAGCAAATTCAGGCCAACGGAGGTAGAGAATGGAAGAACAACTTTCCTTTCGTTGAAAGTAATACTGAAATTACGAATATCAAGCAAAGCTCTGTCATACCAAGTATCTTTATTTTGATATTCGCGTTTGAGTGAAGGATCGACATGAACTTTGATAGAATCTAAGTTAATGTGTATTGGAGATGAGAAAGGAATGACAATATGTGGTGTATCTATCTCAAGATCTACGAAATTGAAAGGATGTTTCTCAAAAAGCTCGAGAATCTCCGATTTCGATGAATCTCTGCGTTTTGGAGGTGGATCTGCGGGGTCTACATAGATTCCTTTCTTTGGAGTCTTGAAAAAGTTTGAGATAAAAACTAATTTCGGAACATCTCCAATGATTTCTGGGGAACTGATCTGAGCTTTGACATTAGTTTGCCTTTTCTCTGAATTGTTCGTGAAATCTAATGACATACATGGAGAATCTAATTTTGGAATTAATTGAACTAAATTTCTTGGAGAATCATTGAAGATATCGACAACGCCGATACCAGTAATTGATGCTTTGGCAGATAAAATAGGGCTTGTCATATTGACAATGCAAGATATTTTATCAACAAGCAATTGAACCAATGGTTGGCCTGGAAATGTATTAAGAGTGGCTTGTATCTTGTGAATTATGAGGTTTGCTGATATTCCTGCCGTTTTATTTCGACCTTGAGAAGATAATGATCTCAATTCTTGGGAAGAAATGTCCAATTCGTTAGAAATAGGCCTTGATTTGGACTTATCAATACGATATCTACTATATGTCATCATATTATACATGACATTCAGTCCAAATTTCTCTTCCAATTTCGTATATTCTGCTTTGACGGCCGTTCTGTTCGTAGAGACCATGTAATCTTCAAGGAACTTCGATGTTTGCTTTCTGTTCTTTAAAAATGTCAATGCTGCTTGAGTATCAAGTAATTGAGGATGTTTCTTGACTTTTGCGGCGTTATTTGCGAAATACCACCACAAACCTGCAGATCTTTCACTCCTAGCAGGTCTGTCTGGTCTTCCACAGCCTCTGTAAAGTCGTTGCTTATTAAACATATATTGTTGCCAAGAAAGTTGATCTATTGCATACCATTGTAATCTATCAAGTGCGATATCGATAATAGGAATATCTGCAATGAAATTATCCGAAATTAAGCTTTTTTCGTTATTATGTTCCCAAATCGTGTCAAAAGTGAAATCTTTCAAGATATATTGATGATTTCCTTTTGATTGTGCTGTAATTTCACTCAAGAACTTTTGGTTATCAATCGGATTTGTATTTGTATCAAGATAAACACTTAAATTCTGAATAAAGACTTTCTTGCGTAATATTTTTGGTTTCTGAGAAATAAACGCTTTATTTCCATTGTCATCGATTGTAAAAACTTGAATACTAGGGATAACAATGCCAGCAGAGATTATTTTGTCTTGAATCTTAAATTCTAAGCGGATATGTATGTCTTGAATATCAATAATTAAATTGTCAATGACTGTACCGACTATTCCTGTCATAACATCTTTCTTTTCAAGATTTTCTTTTTCGCATAAGCTGTCAAGCTCGGAACGTGTTCGTGTGGGCGTTTTCATGTCATTTTCTAATAGAACAGAACCATCAATTGTTCCTAAAATGTATAAACCTTTAACTGAAGCAGCAACTGCTTGAGTTCCGAGATGTAGCCACGGAAATTTCGCTGATAAAGATTGTATAATACCATTCTTTATATTTACAGGAACACCATTCGATGCAAGTGCATGAGATTTTAATTTAAGATTCTTAAACGCAACATCACCGCCAAATATTGAGAGCTCTAATTTACTTGAGTCTAGAGCTTCAATATAGCTTCCAAGAACATAAGAAATAACCTTGGAAGCTATCAGGCGGGTCATTTTCAAATTTTTTTATTCAATTTTTTTATCATCTTCGGATCATTTTATCCAATGAAAATAGTTTTAAACTATTATCCAAAATCTATCAATCTCAAAAAAACGAGAAATGTCTAAATTTGCCAATATCTTCGAAATAAACTTCTTTTTGCAACTTCAGCGAAGTTATTCTCAATATTATGGCTCTACCAAGCCAGAAAATATAAATAGCAATGCTACTATCATAAAAACTGGTAATTATTACATACATCATGCAATATTTTCTTTCCACAATCAAAAAACGGCAATTCAACTTGGTTCCGGCAGCAAAGTCTTAATCGAAAAGTGCACATTTTACAATAACAGCTCCACAAAAAAAGGCGGTTCATTCTATATCCAGTATTCTGACAGTGTATTAGTTCATGTTTGTTGTTTTCTTTCATCAAGTAGTGAATACGGATGTGCGTATAACATCGAATTATTATCTAGAAGTAGCTCCAAAAGCTATGCATTAGAATGTTCAGTTTCAGAATGTACTGGAAAAGGTAACTCTATTGATCAATGGAATGGATATATCCAAGTAATTAATATGAATACTTCTTATAACATAGCTACTGAACATGCTGCATATTTATTATCAGCTCCAACAGGAACAGGAATTATTAATTTCACAACAGCATCAAATTCATCATCTATAGAACGAGGTGTAATGTACAATGCACAAAGTCCATTTACAATTACAAAATGTAATTTTATAAAAAATGAATGTACAGGAAATGAAAAGCCAATAATTATTTGTACTGACTCTGTTAAATATTCAAATTGTTCATTCATAGGAAATAAAGGGTACTATTTATTTGGACAAAAACCAACTATAGATAATTGCTACTTTAATAATAATGAAGTCACTAAATTTGTACAAAATGCTGATGATACTTTTGATTCAATTGAACCATTTGATTCATCTCTATCTCATTATGCAGTGGAAGGGTGTCCTTTAAAATATGAAGATAAAATTGATACCAATGATAAACATGAAGAAGACCAAATTGATTTTGACATCAATAACGCAGTTAAAAAAGTTTATAAATCCTCACTTGTTGAGGCAATAAGTTTATATCCTGTAAAAAAATAAATCTAAATGTTACTGTATAATTTATTTAGCACACTTTCATTGATGATTGTGGATTCATCAATTGTCGTAAGTAACTCAATAAAGTACCATATATAAAATTGTTTGGTATCTTATTTAAAATATTTTGAAGTCATGGCTTAAACAATTTGACTTCGCTTTTAAAAAAATTTTAATTCGAAATACAGAAAAGATGAAATTATTTGATGTTAGAAATAGAATAATATCATGAACAAGGAGCTATTAAATAAAGTGGTGCATGAAAGGATTGCGCTTAAATTAATAAAAATAGAGTTATAGTTCAATAATTCTGATAGCTGGTGATAATAATATTTTTGTCACTTTTTCCAGACGAAAATGACAATACTTTTTTTTGATCAAACGAAATTTTACATGATCTCTCTTTCAATCATTGCCGAAATCAAATAACCACAGTTCTCTAAATGTTTCACAAATTACATTCTTATTTTCCAAATTCATTAATTTTCTGATGAAATTTTCTTGAAAATTTTTCAATAAAATTTTTCATTCAAAATTTTATTACAACGGACGCAATTAATATTTAGAAACATGTTTCTTGATATGCGCATATTTTTTTCTATTATGATCCCCGAAATTTGATAAGTTCTCAATTTCGTAAACATTCAATATTGAACTATTTTGAGTTCAAATTTAAAAAGTATCAATCATGTCGCATATCAAGCTAGAAACCCTAAAGTACATATCGGCTGGTATCATATGGTTCACAACTCTAATTGGTTCCGCGATGCCAATGTGTATTTGTGAAATCAAATGGCAATCTCGTCTTGAAGCACTTGCAGGTGGCGTCTTCCTTGGTGCAGGATTAGCGCATTTCCTTTCGGATTCTTTTGTTGATATTGGAAGCTTTCATAATTATCCACTTGCTTCAGCAATTGCAGTCTCTACATTTGTTTTATTGACAGCTGTTGAATTATTTTCATATGGAGAACATGATAAAGAGTTTGATACCAGTGAATCAAAAGAAGAAGCAAAGGAAATGATTAGAACAGATAATCCACTTGAAGCAAATAATGAGATACCAAACGAAGAACAAATTCAAGGCATGTTTTCAACATCAAATAAGGGATTAATGATTACCACAATATCATTATACATTATTATGGACGTTCATTCTGTTATAGAAGGCCTTGCCTTGGGAATCATGAAAACATTCAATGGTATTATTGCAATATTCTTCGCAATTGTTGGTCATAAACCAGTTGAAGCTTTCGCGTTATCATTGATTATCCTTAAAGATAAACCAACAAAAACACTTTTCTGGATTTTTGTTGTTCTCTATACGTTGATGTCTCCAGTTGGCGTAATAGTTGGAATAATAATTACAAAGCATGTGCAAAACAGAATTGTCATGGGAACAATCGCTGCCTTCTCTGCAGGAACATTTTTGTTTGTTGGATGTAACTAATGGTCTGAAATGTTTTCACATAAAACAGAATGGAATATATCTGAAAAAGGATGGCATTTCAGCATCTTCTTTATAGGAGTCCTATGAATGCTTTTAATTGCTATTGTCGAAACTTTGAACCCTGAACAAAGTGTTACAAAATAATTCATAAATGTTGGATAATTAATAAAACTATCACTTTTAATAATTAATCTTCTTATGTTTTTAATATTTGTTCTAAACTTTAATCATTTCTCTATTTTTCAAATTGAATTTAATTTCGAGTAGGAGTTCAATAATACTAATGCATTTAATAGCTCACACTAAAAGCAATAATCATGATTTATTGTTCCAAAATATGAAATCTCATACTTTAACTTATGAAAGTTCGTGGAATTTTTATGGAAAAAAATAATAATGCCGCCACGAAAAATAATTCCAGAACTCAATATTTTAAAAGCGTAATAGGCACTTAACAATCAAGTTCACAAAATGCAAGAGTGTATTGAAAGATTTTTCTCAAATGTATGGGGAGCATGCTTTGGATTCCAGATATGTGCTATTTGTGTCACAACAGCAGGATCTATCTTATCATATCGTGCCGAAAAATACGGTTCCGGTTTACCAATATTTTCATTAGGAACAGGATATTTCGTTGCATGGATTTCTCTTGTTTGGAAGTGGCATAAGAGCGAAACAAAATGGTGGAATGCCATTTTTGTTACTATTTTCATTGTTCCAGGTGATATTCTTGCGATGATAGGTTTTAGTAAAACATCACTTGCATCAGCCATGCTTTTAACAATGACTGTTGTATTTTGGGTTGCACCGCTGTCATATTTTTACTTTAAAAGAAAAATTAATTGGAAACAATTTATTGCTATATTATTTGGCCTTGGTGGAGTTTCAATGGTTTTAGTAGCCCAAGGCACAAAAGGAAGTAAATTTGTTGGTAACATGATTTCTCTAGGTGCTTCGATACTTTTCGCATTTGGATCAATTTATCAAGAAAAGTGTGCAAAAGAAGATGGACCTGTACTCTATATTTGTAAATTTATGACATTAGCTATTCCACTAACGTTTGGTTTAAGCGGGGGCATTGAATGGAAAGAATTAAAAAATTATAAATGGGATAAACTTTCCATAGGATTGCAAATTGCTTATGCAATAGCAATAGGTTTAGTTTATCTAATGATGGCACTTGTTCTTCCACATTCGAATGCAACAATAATGACTTTAAATAATTTAACCGGAAATTTCTATTCATTAGCTATTGATATTCTTTTCTTTCATAGGCCATTCAAGTGGCTCTATCTTCTTGGTTTCTGCATGGTTCCTGTCGCAATTATATTCTTCGTCTTCTCAGAAACGAAATCAGAGGAATCAACGTCGAATTTGAATGAAAAACCATTGCTCCAACCATAAATTTTTGCTCAACATACAATAAACTATCAATATATTACTTAAATTCGGATTTAGATAAAATATTTTTAAATATATAATATGCTTAGCATATGCATATGATTGCATAACCTTTATGAACATAATTCTGGCTCTTTTGTGTTTACCAAGTTTTTTTTCCCCTCGCAATTAAAGAATTGCCATAAGATCATACTGTAAATCGACAAACTTAACTCAACTCATTCGGACAAAAAAGAAATATGATATGCTTATTTGCATATCTTGATATTTTTCCGTTCCTACATTCGTTTATAGTATTCTTCATATCTAAAAAAAAATATCCATGTCATATGGACATAAGTTCATCATTGGAATAGAATGTGTCATAGTCAAGTTCTTTGTAAGCTTGAAGGATCTCTTCTCTCGTGTTCATCACAATTGGACCTGCCCATGCGATTGGTTCGTGAATGGATGGACCACTCAAAACAATCATTCTCAAACCCTGTTGTCCAGCCTTGATTGATAACATCCTTCCCAATGTCAACAGAGAAGATCCATCCGAAGCTGCCTCTCTTTGTGCTGCTAAGGATGATGTCAACAAGTGTGTTGACGAATTCCTTTCATCAGTCGAACGCGATTTATCTGGCATTGCCATTGAGGAAGAGGAAGAAGCCTCACCAGCAGAAGGCGAAACTGCCATCGTCGAAGATGTTGCAGTTGCCGAAAAGGCTGCAGAAGAAGCTGCAGCTAAGATTGCTGAAGAAGCTGCTGCCAAGGAAGCCGAAGAGACAGCAGTTAACTAAACATTTTATAGGCAAATATCAATAAAAATATGATTGAAATATCTAGGTATGTAGGAGAACGATCACCATCTAGTGAATTAGAAAGTGGATCAGATACTCCACAATCTTCTATACGAAACTTATATTTAAATCCTTCTTCATCGATTGAAATCTTCTTTTCAACTGTAATTTCGATGTATTTGTCTGCTTGTGCAAGGAGTATTTTTTCATAAATTTTATTACATCTCAATGTTCTTGAAAATGAATATAAATATTGACCAAATTTACTTGTCAAAAAATTGAATATTTTTGAATTATTTTTGTTAAAGCAAACCAAGCGGTGATCAGTGCCACTGTACTCAATTCTATCAAAATCTTTTATATTGCTAGCTCTAGATTGAATTTCCCTATAAAATTTATTGAATCTTTCTTTTGCTTTCTTATTTAGTATATATTTCTCTTTCAATAGACAAACAATAGTTTCATTTTCATTATTCGAAATGTTTATTGGCTCGAATTCCCATGATCCAAAATCGAAATGATATCTATCATAAATAGATGTAGTTTCGCTACCGTCACCATAAGATATTTTCTGTATTGCATAGTAAGAAATCCTTGGTTGCTTATAAAGGAAAGAATTTAAAAAATCTTCATTATTTATATTGCGTAACATGCATTGGAAAGGTACATTCACTAGGCGATAACAGTAAAATGGGATGAAAATAGGATAAATAGCATCCCTATATAGTGCCTAACAATATTTATACGGGCCAAAAAAATTTGGCTAGAGATTTGGCGAGTTATAAAAGTTAGAAAATTGAGAGGGATTTTTATTTTTGAATTTTTTTTGGAAAGTTAAAATTGCGATTAAAAATCGATTTCCAGGAGAACTAAGCATCTCATCATATATTTAAATCGATAAAAATATTAAATAATAGTTGAATAGTATAACAACGTGAAATTATGGCTGAATCTACAGAAAAAATGAACATATTTGACATTTTTGAAAATTCATACGTTAGATGGTGACAGACTCATAAACTATACTTTAGCTAAGATTGATATATGGTTTCAACAACACATGGTTAAAATCGTAAAAATATTTTAGATTTCAAAAAGATATATATGGTAATATAATGGAACAAAGTCAACAAATAGCATGTTAAATATGTTATAATTAACTTTTTATTAGATCCAATAGTAGATATCGAATGGTTTCCAGCTTTATGGTTAAATATTTTCTTTTCGAGCTTCTCTTTAACTGTTGTATTAAGGTTGTAAATTTTTGATGCTAGAAACTATGGAATCTTCTTTGCTGCTGCATTTTTCTTGAGAGTTCTTGCAATTTCGAATAGATCTGCGCATTGTATGAAATGGAGGCTTTAAAATATCTTGAAAACAGAATAGGACTGCTTTTCCAAAGGAATGCTTACTTGTAAATCAGAGAGTTTCAAAATTGAGAGCAAGATTATCATCATAACTTTCGATTTTGCTGCGAAAAAGGAAGACAAGTAATTAACAAATCATTTACTGTTGTTCATTAAAAGAAGAAAACTTTGATAACAACTAATGATGATAAAATCAAGCTATCTTTTAATATGTTAAATTGATAAGACATTCAAAATATTTGAATGGTTTAAAATATTTTCTTTTAATTTCTATAAGATATTATCATGATTATATAATAAAATTTAAATTTTTATTCAAAAAGGCAATATTTCAAACTTTTAATTTCAAAAATCTTAATTCTGCAATAAGTGTATTTAATTGTAGCAAATTTAATGATCCTTCGTCATGCTTAGCAATTTGGAACTCATAAATTAATGATTTCTTCAAGTAAAATTCTGCATTATTTCAAAAGTCAATAATTCTCTAGTAACTTTTCTTCAAACCCTAACCATTATATTATATGTATAATGGAGAATAATTGCAAAGAAAGATAGCCGAATTTACTGGGTAGTTCTTGTGATGCGAAATAATTGCAAATTAACACCTAGTTTTAACAGCATCAATCTCTTTTTGCTCTCATTTAAATGCATTCGCACACTTTAATTTTGAAATATAAGAGTTTTGGAAATTATCAAATTTATCTGCTCAAATACTATAGATCTTCATAAGTGTTAATAGAATCATTAGCCTTACATATAGTGTTTAATATAATGATGCACATTATACTGGGATTCATTCCTTATTCATCTAGTTATTATAAGATTTACAACCCCATGAAAATTTAAAATTTTGTCAAAAATAGTGAATGTACCTTTGGAAAGTATTCGATCCTGAAAGTGTAGCGTGACAAAAATATAAAACTAAAAATATAGATAAAAACCATTTTCTCTTGTTCATGAGATGAGAGCAAGAAAAGATCAAATAATATGACATTTGTAAAGTTCAAATATTCGACATTTGTAAACCGATCAGAATGTCAGTTTAGAAAAATAACCCATCATCTAATACTTGTCAGGATATTTCGCAGGATTTGATCCGGCCAATCATAGTGTGTCTCCGTCCAAATTAGTGGATGATTTCAGCATCAGAACTCCGAATGGTCTTCTATGAGAGTTCTCCCCTCTAGAAGCATGCTTCATAAGATATTAATTATATTTTATTGCTTTCACGCTCTATACTATTACCATCAAATCTAGGAAAATCAATGATGCCAATTAGTTCGAATGAAGAAATTTATCTAATTAGGTCTCTCAATACATTCGAAGCTTCAAGGAATCTTGCCATAAGGTTGTTTTCTTGTAGTAAAGTGACCACTAATGATTGATTCATCAATTTAAAAGTAAAAATAAATGTATATAAAAATTAATTAAATTTTTTTACTCCTTTCTTTTAATTAATTCCTTTTGTGTTTGAGAAATGTATCATAGTCAAGTTCTTTGTAAGCTTGAAGGATCTCTTCTCTCGTGTTCATCACAATTGGACCTGCCCATGCGATTGGTTCGTGAATGGATGGACCACTCAAAACAATCATTCTCAAACCCTGTTGTCCAGCCTTGATTGATAACATCTTTCCCAATGTGAATAGAACAGCCTGCTTGGCGTCAATTTGCTTTCCATCATGGTTCTTTGAAAAGTCAGCTGATCCTTCGAACAAATAAGCAAAAAGATTATTTGCTGGGTCAGTCTCTAATTCAAACTCTGCATTTGGATCCAGTCTGATGTCAAAGTATGTTGCAGGAATATACTTGGGTTTGAAAGCACCAGAGATATTGAAAAAACCAGAATTTTCGAAAAATTGACACCAACTATTAAAGTTATTTTATTACTAGATTTATTTACAAATTATAAGATAATATCATTAACCGAATATATTTTTAATATAAATAAAAAACTTTTTTATACAAAAAATTACAATCAATCGATAAATATTATAAAACATTTATTCCAAAAAGATTAAGTAATAGGTGGGATCCTGCATATAATATAATTTTATGTCATAAAGTTTACAAATTTTTGATGGACCACAGTGAGAATGTGAGTGGTTAATTTAAAGGTGGTCTGATAAAGAAATCGAGGCTTACTCAACACAGCATGAAGCAGTTTCTAATACACAATCTTACTAGTGGTGTTTCGGTCGCCAGCGCTCTCATAGGGGTGCTGATTTCAAAAACCACTACTTCAAATCATTCAACAATACTCAATGCAGCATGAAGCAGCTACTACTGCTGTATCTTACTGGTAGTGTTTTGGTCGTTGGCTCTTGCACAGTCTCTCAGATTTTCAAAATTTTTTTTTCAACACTATCTTGTTTCGCTCTCAGAAAGCTATCCTACAAAGACATCGAAGCTTACTCAACACAGCATGAAGCAGTTTCTAATACACAATCTTACTAGTGGTGTTTCGGTCGCCAGCGCTCTCATAGGGGTGCTGATTTCAAAAACCACTACTTCAAATCATTCAACAATACTCAATGCAGCATGAAGCAGCTACTACTGCTGTATCTTACTGGTACTGTTCTTCGCTTCTTACTATCAACTCTAAAACTAGTTTGATGTATTATTTATTCATATATAAATATATACATATATAAATATATACATATATAAATATATACATATATAAATATATACATATATAAATATATACATATATAAATATATACATATATAAATATATACATATATAAATATATACATATATAAATATATACATATATAAATATATACATATATAAATATATACATATATAAATATATACATATATAAATATATACATATATAAATATATACATATATAAATATATACATATATAAATATATACATATATAAATATATACATATATAAATATATACATATATAAATATATACATATATAAATATATACATATATAAATATATACATATATAAATATATACATATATAAATATATACATATATAAATATATACATATATAAATATATACATATATAAATATATACATATATAAATATATACATATATAAATATATACATATATAAATATACATATATATATAAATATATAAATAAATATATAAATAACAAAATACAATCAAAAAATAGTGTTTGGAAATTTAAGGTTAAGTGTCACTTTTTCGTAAATTCTACCACACTCCAAACTCTGCATTTGGATCCGGTCTGATGTCAAAGTATGTTGCAGGAATATACTTGGGTTTGAAAGCACCAGAGATATTGTTGTATGTTCCAGCAATGATCTTGATTTCTCCATTTGGAATCTGAACAACTGGAATATCTTCTTTCTTGATATCTCCATAAGAAGGATCCACCATTTTGTTTTCCTTCGAAAGGTTAAGCCAGATTTGAGCTCCAAGCAAACGTGGTGTTGCTGCAGGCATTTCTTGATGAATAATTCCACTTCCTGCGGTCATCCATTGAGCTTCACCACCCTTGATGACGCCTTTGTTTCCAAGTGAATCTTGGTGTTCGATCTCTCCTTCAATAAGATATGTGATTGTTTCAATACCACGATGAGGATGGAATGGGAATCCAGCCATATAATCCTTTGGATTTGTTGAATCAAATGCATCAAGCATTAAAAATGGATCATAATCTGTTGTGTCAGCATTTCCAATGACTCTAACAAGAGAGACACCAGCTCCATCACGTGTCCTGTAGCCTTGCTTTACCTTGCTGATTTGGCGATACATGAATGATAAAAATGAAATCAATTTCAAAGCATTATTCAACTCTTTCAATTTATGTTTGGTCGATTCTCAGAATTTTTTTCTGAGAAAAATTGAAAGGAGAAATCATACGCAAATTTCAATATTTCTGAGCTTATTCATTTTTCGAAAACATAACAGCGATAATTATTTTACCACACTATTTATATAATGCTCATTGTCATGTAAAATTCACGTTTTGACAAAAATTGATTTTGAGAAAGCGAATTTACTTGTAATTTGTCACTGATATTTGCAATATACATATAGATATGAAATAAAAAATCACAACCAATTTAAGAAAATGCAAGAAATTTATAAAATCGATATAATTAAATTACACGTGATCTATTATTGCATTGCCTATATATAACGAGTTTAATAGAATTTACATCAATAAAATTCTCACATCTCTGATTCATTTAAATTTAAAGTTTTAATTTGAAATATTTATAGTGTATGTGCTTAAAATATTGCTATATATGTGATTGTATTATATGTTAAAGTGATGATATGCGGAGATTCGGTCTATGAAGATGATTCAATTTTCACTGATCGAAAAACGAACAAATACGATTGAGATAAGCTTAAACATTCTATTTAATGGATATGGATGTATAATGAAATTGCAATAATTTGTTTAAAAAGCAAAAAGTTAAACTCAATTATCAAACAGAATAATAAAAATATATGATAGATAATTACTTTGGTATTTGAAACATTGGCATGAAATGTTTCGAACATGACTCGTGTAGAAATCAAGCCAAGAAATGTATTGTCCGTGTTCTTTGGAATTATCTGAAAAATCAAGCATCATTATTCTGAAATACCTATATTTATATGTTCTGTTGAAGGAAATCTCGGTAGATATATTTTCATAATTGATTCTCGTTAATTTTCTCTCTTCAAAAAGAGTTTGAAAGACATTATTATCGTTCGAAAACTGCAATGAGTATGATGGTGGATGCTTTGACCAAGGGTACGCAAGATAAGTAGAGCTCATGAATAAAATTCCCGAAATAGGATATTGCTTTTTTAAATCAATTAACAAATATCCACCAGGATTCGTCAATAAGGCCCATATGTTAGAATCATTCTTTTCACAAAGCTTAGTTAGACCATTAATGTCATATTGATCTATCCACTGCGACTGCGTTATGGAAACAAGTCCTCTGGATACTAATCCATCGCCATAAATAGATCGCATATGGCGAAATATGAGTTGCTCTTGATTTAATATAATGAAACTTTACTTTATTAGAATTTAAAATTATCGTTCTACTTTTTTTTCAAATCATTCAAGAATTTGTAATTTCCATTTCATTTCGTAAAAGTCTAATTGACAAAGGTCCAGGAGCAGATGATTAAGATGCTTCTATCTAGATATATAAAAGGCCATGCCCTATAACAATATATATCAATATTAACTAATGAATATATTTAGTATATACATCTCTCTGTGAAAAAAGGAAATACTGAAGGGTATTTATTGTTATGTAATCCACAAAAATGTTGCGTTCAACAAAATACTGCAGTCAAATTGATTTAACTCTTAAGAACATCTAGATGCATTCAGATGTGGATTATTTCCTTTGATAAAAAACGATTTTATATTTTAAAGGGATAGAAAGAATATATTTTATTTATCATGATTAAAAATAATAATTTATATAGATGCTTCTTCTATATAGCTGTGTAAGAAGTCTTCTTTGAATGGGTCATCAAGTGACTCATCATTAGTCATAACCATTGGACTGAAATAAGTCACTTTGTTTGTATCTTCAAGTAAATGAACTGATGAAGACAATCCAAATGCAGAAAGTTCTTCATTTCTGATTCTTCTTGCGCAACAAATAAGAAGTATGCATAAGAATATCAATGCAACTACGCATAATATTATAATCAAAGCAAATCTAAATATCTGTTTCTTGTCTGTATCTTCTGTTTCATCTGGTTGAATGATTTCGATTTCAACAACTGTGTTTGTTGAAATTTCAAGGATTTGTAATGTTTCTATTGTTGTCGTCGTGTAAATGATTTGATGGTCATTTGTTAATGTTGTTATATCTGTTACAATTAATGTTTTAGTTGTGATAAATGTTGATCCTGTTGTAATGGTTTTTGTATATGAATGATTATCATTACTTCTTGTGATTGCTGTTCTACTTGGTAAAGAACTTGTTGTCTCTTTAGGTGTAGTTATAACAACAGGAACAGCTGTTTGACTTACTGTTTGATATGGTTCAAATTTGGTGTTTCATCATCTGTTTTTTCTGACTCAGATGATGTCTCAATTTCTGTCATTTTTGGTGTCTCAATTTATGTCACTTTTGGAGTCTCAAATACTGTCACTTTTGGTGTTTCAATTTGTGTCACTTTTGGAGTTTCAAATTTAGTTTCAATTGGAGTTTGTTCTTGAGTTTGTTTTTGTGTTTCTATTGGTGTTGGATTCAAAGTTAGATAAGGTGTTTGGACTAATGTTTCACTTTTTTTTTCTTCTTCTGTTATCATTGGAGTTTTTTCTAATGTTAAATCAGGTGTTTGGAAATTTGATGGAGAAGGGGTTGGTTTTGGTGTAGGAGTTGGCTTTGTCTGAATTGGAGAGGTAAGACATAAACCCGAAGCAAATAATTCAATATAATTAATGTCATAAATTTGGTTCTTGTCATTTGAGGAAACCTTTCCCATCGTCTTGTTCAGTGAGTCAACAGAACATCCTTCTAGATATAAAAATCCTGAATATGTAATAGAAAAATGTACTGGAAAAAGTGAAAGTACTTCCATCGACAATGGTTATTGCATCATGTACTTTATTGTTAATGATGTTGCAGTATTCAGCTGAATGAATTCCGCCGTTCAATCTAAACATTCCTTTTTCATTGGCTTCATTTGATGAAATATGTGAGAATTTTATAGCCCCTGATACTGGTTGTGAAGGAGTAATTCCAGGATATGAATGACTTTGGCAATTTGACAAGTTTACTTCCGAAATAATTTGGTTTCCGCGGAATGCAATAAATACATAGCTATTTCCGTAATTTTTATTGCCACACTTGCTGATTGATGTCACCTCTACGTTGTTATCGTTTGAAGTTCCTTCAGAATAAAGAAATTGACCAGATCTGTCTGTACTTGTTATTTCGCAAGAATATCCGCAAACTCTATTTATGTTTGTATGGCCGGCATTATTAATAAAAATATCACCACCATTACCATTCGAGGAGCATTTGATTATTGCGCAATCTTCTATGAGGAGATATGATTTTCTGAATGAGATATAGCGTACTGCACCACCTCCTCTTTCGTTGATGTTGTCTTGATGAATGTTTTGGAATAAATTCGAGTGAATGTAAAAATTATCTTCGGGTCCATTAGCAAAACCTAATGATGATGTATAATCCTGATAGCTTTTCACATCATAAAAATCACTCCAGGCTTTTTGGAGGGATAAATACAGCATTGTCATTGAGATTTCCGAAAATGAAATAATTTTTTCAAAAAATAACCGTTATTAGCCAAAACTGCTTATCAGTAAAAGTAATATGTATCATATGAATAGTAAAAATACATGACTATCAAAAAAAATGTAAAACATTTTCAATTTTGCATAATCATTAATCTAGATGAGAAGATAGTGATGAATAATATTTAGTTCATTTATGAATTTCCGGTAGCAATAGATGACTCTCAATTTTTCAATCAAAATTGACAATAACCAAATTAAGTGGTCAATTTTTGAGAGAATCGAAACGAAATCGAATGAGCAAAAGGCTATTTATGTCATTTGCATTAAAAAGTTATAAATCTGAAATATGAAATATTTAAATCGATGGCTAAATTTTAATTACCCAGATTTTCCTTACTTTTACCACCTCTCTAAAGCTGGGGACACCGCCTATCGTTTGGAGTAGCTATTAAATAGAACCACCAAGGGCATTTTTCCAACTGCCGGTGTAGTGTAGTGGAAACATCCGACATAATGATTTATTATGCCAAGGTTCGATTCCCATTTAGCCATTTTTTTTCTTTTTTGGATCATGAATTTTTTTTTGGGTCACTATAAGATTTGTTTCATGTTCTAAATCTGCTGCATATGTAATCTATTTTTATTTACCTATTTTTTAAAAATCTATTGGATTGCCAAATTTGAATATATTTAAAATCATAAAACTCCAAAAAAACTATAAATATATGTTTTATGCATAGTGCCGATACTCAAATATCAGATTACTTAGATCCATGAATAATATCCGAATTTTTTTTTCTTAAAATTAAGGGGAGGTTTTTTGTGATATGGAAAAATGTTCGTTGCTCAATTATCTCACTATTGGATGGACTTTTATCGAGCGAAATTTTGGCTGTAAAGACAATTCTGATATTGGTAACATGGTGATAAGAACAAATAGTCAGTTTGCATGGTTTATGATGAGATAATTTCGATTTAAAAAAAAACATAAAAATTGATTTTAATGAGCAATTATATTTGAATATGCTCTCCTAATTTGAAGGAACTGGTTAAATCATGAATTGATCATGAATAATTTTTTTCAAAATAACAATTATAATTTCATATTCATTATAAGTTGAAAATATATCATAAAGACTTTATGAATGATAAATTCCTAAAAAACAAGTTAGTTTGTTTCTGAAAATAATAATAATAATAACCAATTTAGACCCAATAATTTTTGGCGGGATAATTGAGATGTTTAACAAAAACTGAAAGGTGTCATTATTATCTATGACCAACAAGCAACTGACCTAGTCTGGATTACAATATTCGGTTCATCAAACCGCCAATTTGATGAATCAAGCCAAATTGTAACAAACCAGTTGTTGATTGCATGGTATCATTCATCGAACTGCCAATTTGATGAATTACATTTCTTAGTCATCAAAATAGTGGTCATGTTACTATTCGTTAGGTTAAATTACTTTTAATGCCCATTCAAGGAAGTACATGTCAGTTACGGGGTTTATAGTTTTACTCGAATTGAGTAAACCTCTTGGAAGCAATTACCACAAGAGCCAAGACTTCTCGTTTACAGACTTTGAAAGCCAGGAAGGAGCCAGGTAACAATAATGGGCTCTCTTATGATATTTTGGGATATTTATCAACAATTTGAGTTTCTACCTATTGTCTTCAATGAGGATTTTTTACGCCAGAAGTACAATACCTGTACAGTCTAACTACTAGGGCAATGTAGTCAAACTGTGCACGTATTGAACTTCTAAGGCTATTATTTATCTGCTATTGACATCATTCTTTTACATTACCGTCCTCTGGTCCTTAGAGGACCATAGATTCTGAAATTACTTGTGCAGAGCAAAGTTCTTCCGAGATCTCTCTATCCTTCGTAGATCTCGGAAAAACTTTGCCTTAAACTACTGCATTAATGTTTCCTAGTATTCAAAGAGCTATGAATTCTATAGTTGATCTTATAAGGTAGAGTTTTTCCTAACTTTCTCATTCGTTGAAAGGTTTTCAACAAAGCTATACCTTAAAAATCTGTGCTTGTTATATCTGATCATTTGTGTGTTAGGGGAGGTAAATTTATTCCACTAGAGCAAATTTTTTCCGAAGTTTCTCATTCGATGAGAAACCTCGGAACAACTCTTCAATAGTGTAATGAATTTGTGGTATTTGTCCTGCAAACAGCGAGAGAACTTGTCTGTAATTCGTTTATGATGAAGTTATCTGGATGTCTCTCAGATAAGGAAGGAAGTCCAGAAAACTTCACCATAAGTTAATACTTGTGTATTTCTATGACTCTCTTCACGTCAGAGAATGTAAATTTACTCAAATAGGGCAAAGTTCTGCTCAAGTTTCTCATTTGATGAGAAACCTCGGAAGAACTTTGCCCTAAGGTAATGTATATGTGATTGTTGGCCCGCAGAGAAACAAGGAATCTGTTTGTATTTCGTTTATGGTGAAGTTCTCGGATGTTCTCTCAAATTATATGGAAAATCAAGAGAACTTCACCATAATTTGTTGTAGTTGTGATTCTCTGGCTCTTTGCCGGCCAGAAAACTAGAAAATAGTTTATAGTGGGAGTATGCTCGATGAATACCTACTCACTAAAAATATACGTTATTTTTTGTTTTCCTATAAGAAAATAGTTTTGATTTTTATACTATCGTATGCTTTGTTATTACATGAATTGTCTATTTTCTTAATAAAAACTCATTTTTAGTTAGTATGGCTAAGTCGTGTACTGAGGCACTGCGCGCCTCCGTACACCACTTAACCTTAAATATTTACAAAACCATTAACATATATTTTTACAACACAAACGACAACACTAACTTAACATTAAATATTTACAAAGCCGCCAACCACTTCACTTCACTAACGTTTTCACAAACGACTTCACTAATGTAAAAAATAAACGTTCTCACTTACAAAAGTATTGCAACTCCTCCCATTGCTGTGCTTCACATAACAGCTCATAATCTTCTGACTCACTTTCTTCTTCATATAGGTCAAAATCACTGTCAAAATAAATGTTAGTAAGTTTTGACAAATGTAATGAAACACGTTTACCGTTTGTATCGTATGCTTGTATAAACTTTCCATTCTTCATTCCTTCATAAACGCTCAAACTAACTTTACCCTTTCTCCCGCGTATCTGATAGAATGTATTTTCACGAGGAACGAAGAACAAGTTCTTGAACTCATGACCGTTGTAGTTTGTTATCTCAATAGTTTTCGTCATTTATATAAAAATAAAATAAAAATAAACTTAAAAATAAATGATATCACCACCCTCACACGTATGAAAACATAGCACAAAAATAAATCTAGGTGAAGTGGTGAGATCTCACCTCTTTTTTCACCTGTTTTTTCACCCTCTTGAATTCATTGCTTTATAACTCTCTGTCGTCTGCTTTCTCCAACTCTTCTAACTTCTTCTTAAGTTCAGCAATGTTGTCCTCATGAAGTTTAATCTTTCTCAAAATTCCTTCTTTATCTAATGGTTGCTTTATCTTTCTAAACTGAACTCTACCATCCTTCATAGTATGAATGTAAAAACCTTCTGGAATAATTCCTGATTTAATGTATTCTACCAAAAACTTTTGTTTCATTGCTTCAGTGACTTTAGTCGTCATTTTACTCTAAGGTGAAGCTAGCACAGCGATAATGGATTTCATGATTTTTTAGTATTTCATGCAATCTTAACAGATAGCCTTACAAGTACTTCCAGTGTCCCTAGCTGTCCCTCCTTTTTATATAACTCCATGACATTTATAATCTCGCGAAACTTAACAGGTAGCATAACAGATTAAAATCAGATGAGGTTTTGAACCAAAATTTCTAAGCAACGTTGTCAAGGATTTTGAGGAACTAGGGACAGAGTGTGGCAAAGTCCAAGATTTAATTTATCTTCATCTGTTTCATCAGCTATCTCGTCTAATATGCCAATATTTTATTCATAACTCGTGGCAAACTCACTAACTTTCATTATGTTCATCTGCATGCTTCATCTGATAGAAAGTATGACTTTCATTAACTCTGTGAGATAATGAAAACTACTAGGGACAGAGACCATGGCAAAGTTCATGACTTTCATTATTTCCAGAACTTAATGAAAACTACTAGGGACAGAGACCATGGCAAAGTTCATGATTTAATTTATTCTCTCACTAACAACACACAAACTCCAACACTAACGACAAAAATAAATGTCCTCACTTCTTAACAAAGTAATATGTGCTTCTTACACCACCATAGCTCAAACGTTTCTTTTCAAACATCGATTGAAACTTATTTTGAGCCATTGGCTTTAGTCTCTTTTTCTTCAAATACGCCAAGAAATCTTCTTCACATCTTTTCACTTCATAGCCTTCTTTAAACTCCTCCTTGTTAAGTTCTATGAAATCCTTTATCTCATTCTTTGTTGCAATGGCTTCTTCACGAACGACATCGTGAACTATTTCATCACTGTTCTCATGAACGACCTCCTTACTGTTCTCATGAACTATTTCATCATTGTTCTCATGAACGACCTCCTCACTGTCTTTCATAAGCGTTTCAAAGTCTCCTTTACTCATTACTTCAATCTCATGCTGTTCACAGTAGTACTTAAACTCACTGTATATGTCTTTGTTGTATGTTATATTGCTTCCCATGTACTCCATGAATTTTTCAAGCACTTCCTCATAATTCACTGTTTCTTTCTTTCCACGACCTTCTAATAACATACTTGCTTCGTAAATATAACTTCTTGCAGAACCGTCTCGCTTTCTACTTCTCTTCACAAATTCTCTCATCTTGCCACCAAATATATTTGAACTACATGCAAAGAATTCATTCTCCTTCGCAAATTCTTTATATCTTCTGTAGCACTCTGTACAATTCCATCCGGATACAAACTTTTCATAAAACTCCTCGTAAAACATTTGGTAAGGTGTTTTGTTCATTTCGATGAGTTCTTGTTTAGCCCTGGTGAATGGTATCTTCCTTACATCAAATTCACTTAAATCTTTCCTCATGAAGTACGTCAGTAAGTTTGAATAAAACTCTTCATTAAAGCTTTCAATGAGATTTGAGAAATATTCGTAATTTCCTTTGTATCTGCTGCTTACGTCAATGACAACAAATCTTCTGTCGTCTTTGTCAATCTTTACTGAGTTGAAGTTGTTAGATATCATGATGATATTACAAACATTCTCTATCTTTCTTACTGGCTGACACTTCTGATTTAAGTCCAACTGAGTCTCTGTTACTATTGACTTTAGTGCGTCGTGGTTCATGACCTTAGACGTATCGCATGAGCTTAGTTCATTGCATACGATGAGCTTCATGTTCTCAATAGCAGCATTGAATCTACCAACCACATTCTCTATTGCCGTTATATTATTGTTGGCGTACTTGCTAATGAGCTCGCATAGAACATTACTAAGTACATTCTTACCAGTTCCTTGCTTTCCTATTAACAAAAGTACTGTTCCAGTCTTTCCACAAGGATTTTGAACGATGTAGGCGAACCAGTTCAAAACATACTCATAAAGCTCTTCATCCTCATTACATATGACATCGTGAACATGTTTCAAATATCCTTCAATAACGTTCTCATCTACTTCATTCAGTACCTCATACTCATATCCTCTGAAATAGCTGTAAATGTCATCTCTTTCGTCAAAGAATCTCATGCCTGACTTCATAAGATAGTTCTTGTTCTGACCCGCTTCATAAATCATCAGTGCGTTCACATCCTTCTCCTCAATACGTCCTACATAAACACTCTTCATGAGCTTATTGAATTCCTTGCTATCTACTGACACAAGTGTTGTTGTGTCTCGTATTCCATCATAATCTTTCACTAGATATGTCATACGTGCTCCGTCAATAACGACAACACATCTTCTTAAGTCATTTATAACACTAGCTATGTCAATACCGTCCTCACTCATGTACTTATTTTTCCTCAAGTCCTTTAGTGTGAAAGTGTCTCTAAGTTCTATTTCAAGCAATTCATTTACACATCCTTTGCAATACTTCTCTATAAAATATTTCTGTCGTTCTTTACTAAGTTTCTTAACAGCTCTAAGAACCATGTGTTTTGACTCAAACATCCTTCACAACTTCTCTCATTCATTCCTAGTTCTTTCATGTCATTATCTTCAACCTCTATGGTCTCATTGACTAAGGTCAAAGGGTTCTTAGTCATTGCTGGTCTTATCTGAAACAATGTTTGTGCAACAGGTTTAACTAGTTCAGCAACGTCCTTCCTTAATATGAATAGCTGTTTCCACTCATCTTTGCTAACAGTTCTTTCATAACCACTGACAGTAATGATTTCATTTGCTGACCTTAGACACTTATGTTCTATCATTTGTATTGCTTTTGTGTAAGGCTTTCGTGAGCATAGGTTGTATATGTCATTCCTGCAATGTTCATTCATGCCAATAGTACTAAATCCTTTCTTTGCTGTTGAGTGCATAATATCCATTAGTTCCTGTGTTCGTATTGCTGTCTCATAAAATACAACAAGACCTTTGTCATCTATGACGTACTTACCGAAAACATTGCTTATATTCTTTAACCATGAAATAACATCCTCATTCATGCTGTCAAACATGAAGTAAGGTCTTACATACTCTTCACTTATAAGATACTCCACAAAGTACTTGTTAAGCTCTATGTCCTCGTGAGCGATTTCATTAGGTTTGATATTAGTTCCTTTTGTCATTGCTGTCATGTACTTCACTCTCATAGTTCCTTTCAATAGCGTAAAAGTACTTCATTGTTTCATAACTGCTCTAAATTCTGTTCAAAATTCGTACAACATAACTTTTTAACATTAGTGAAAGAACATGAGCGAAACAACAACATCTAACATTACAGAAGAAGTCAATGACAATGCCGATGAAAACATTACAGAAGGAGCTAGTGAAAATATTGACAAGCTCAGTGAGGAAGAAGATATTGAGGACGTCAATGAGAACGTTAGTGGGGAACAAACTCAATGGGAAACATTGAGAAATCATGAAGATTATGAGATTTGTACGACATATCCTTTTACTATTCGTCGAAAGAAAAACAAACATATTAAGAGTGAATGCTTAAATAATCATGGTTATATTGTGCTTAGTTTAAACAACAAAATGTACTTAAAGCATAGAATTATTGCAGAACAGTGGATTGAAAATCCAAACAATTTGAAAGAAATAGACCATATAAATCATGATAGAACGGACAACAGAATCTCAAACCTTCGTTGGTGTTCTAGATCTGAAAATAATAGAAATAAAAGCAAGTATGGCGATATAGTTTATGAGTTCGTTGATGAAATATCTGACGAAGCTGTTGAAATAACAGATTATGGTAAGCATTCGTTTGAGTTCTACTACTATGTTGAGAATGAGGACGCATTCTATTATTATACAGGTCTTAACTATCGAAAACTTCATATAAACTTTACAAAAACAGGTGCTGCTTATGTTTGTATGATAGATACAGAAAACAAGAGTGTAATCTTATTCATAAACAAATTCAAACGCTTGTACGGCTTCATGTAGGACAAACATTATTTTTCAACACTAACGCCAACACTTAGGACAAACATTCATGACTAACATTACTGTATAACATAAATGATTTATCATGATTTAATCGTAAATGTTTTGTCATGATTTCATCGTACATGTTTTGTCATGATTTCATCGTACATGTTTTGTCAAGACTTCTTCGTATATGTTTTGTCATGATTTAATCGTACATGTTTTGTCAAGACTTCTTCATCGTAATGAGCGTAAATGTTTTGTGAAGAATATAACAACCGCCGGAATTCAGACGGTTGCTTTTTATACAAAATTCACGCAGGAAAATTCTTGAGTTTTGGTTGAAAGAATACGGTGGAGCCAAAAGTGGCTCAACCTCAAAACAAACATTTTGTGAGCTTACTAAGGCATTTATGAATGAATTCAAAGGTATTTGCATACATCCTGACCTCGTTCATTTTGTTGTTGAATTCAGCAAAAATAATGTTTAGGGTAGATGGTTTTTAGGTGTCACTACGTCACCATGTCACCAGGTTAATTAACTTCTCTTAAAATTACTGACAACATGACATTTAGACAACAGTCCAGGAAATAAACTTCTTCGTATATGTTTTGTCATGACTTAATCGTAAATGTTTTGTCATGATTTAATCGTAAATGTTTTGTCATGATTTCATCGTATATGTTTTGTCAAGGTTTCTTCGTATATGTTTTGTCATGATTTAATCGTATATGTTTTTGTCAAACATGAACGTAAATGTTTTGTCAAACATGAACGTAAATGTTTTGTCATGATTTAATCGTAATGAGTGTAAATGACCCAAAAATAATGTTTAGGTGAAGAGATGAGATCTCACCTCTTTTCTCACCTCTTTTCTCACCTCATGAATTTTCATGATTTCTTCGTAAATGATTTGTCAAACATGAACGTAAATGTTTTGTCATGATTTCTTCATCGTAATGAGTGTAAATGTTTTGTCAAACATGAACGTAAATGATTTGTCATGATTTCATCGTATATGTTTTTGTCAAACATGAACGTAAATGTTTTGTCAAACATGAGTGTAAATGTTTTGTCGAAACTTCATCGTAAATGTTTTGTCATGATTTCATCGTAATGAGCGTATATGCTTTGTCAAACATGAGCGTAAATGTTTTGTCATGACTTCTTCATCGTATATGTTTTGTCATGATTTCTTCATCGTATATGTTTTGTCATGATTTCATCGAAACTAAACGTATATGTTTTGTCAAGACTTCTTCGTATATGTTTTGTCATGACTTCTTCATCGTAAATGTTTTGTCATGACTTCTTCATCGTAATGAACGTAAATGACCCAAAAATAATGTTTAGGGTAGATGGTTAGATCTAACCTCATTTCTACCCTCATTTCTACCCTCATTGAATTTTCATGATTTCTTCATCGTAATGAGCGTATATGCTTTGTCATGATTTCATCGTAATGAGCGTATATGCTTTGTCAAGACTTCTTCATCGTAATAAGCGTAAATGTTTTGTCATGACTTCTTCATCGTATATGTTTTGTCATGACTTCTTCATCGTACATGTTTTGTCGAAACTTCATCGTAAATGATTTGTCATGATTTCTTCGTTTATGCTTTGTCGAAACTTCTTCATCGTAATGAGCGTATATGTTTTGTCAAGACTTCTTCATCGTATATGTTTTGTCGAAACTTCATCATCGTAATGAGTGTATATGCTTTGTCATGATTTCTTCATCGTATATGTTTTGTCATGACTTCTTCATCGTAAATGTTTTGTCATGATTTCTTCATCGTACATGTTTTGTCATGATTTCATCGTAAATGCTTTGTCGAAACTTCTTCATCGTAATGAGCGTATATGCTTTGTCAAACATGAGCGTATATGTTTTGTCATGATTTCTTCATCGTAAATGTTTTGTCAAGACTTCTTCATCGTAATGAGTGTATATGCTTTGTCATGATTTCTTCATCGTATATGTTTTGTCATGACTTCTTCATCGTAAATGTTTTGTCATGATTTCTTCATCGTACATGTTTTGTCATGATTTCATCGTAAATGCTTTGTCGAAACTTCTTCATCGTAATGAGCGTATATGCTTTGTCAAACATGAGCGTATATGTTTTGTCAT